AAATCCACACGTCTTAAAGTTGCCAAGGTTGAGAAACACTGATTAAATGCATACAATATTGTACTTTTTATGGTCAATATATGCTACAGTCTGCTAGCAATCTATTCAGCGTGTATATAATACCCCGTCACATTTCTCCCACCCTAGTTTATGAGATTCTGCTTTGTATATATAGTTCTATGCACATCTACACAAAAAGACAAATCATTCAGTTTGCATATCATGCTATGCCAAAACCAAGTGAACCACATCGAAATACGACTTCTTACACAAACCCAACCAATTGTGGTTTATTTAGCACCCTAAACTGAAACAAACAAGCCACATTGTGGTGGCAGGATCCACAAACTCAACCTCTTAATTTATCAGGATAATACTGGCATGCTCTTTGGATCCAGAATGAATCTGGAAATCAACTCCATTTAATTGAAAAGGTATTGGCAGCCTCACTGTTCTCTAAAGCTCCTTAAATATATCAAGTTTCGAGTGTAAATAAAACTATTCCCTTGCTGCAATCTACATTGTGGAAACTGGGAAAGAGAAAGACACCCAGATTTTCTAAGGCCGATCGACTTCTGCAGAAAAAGATGGCACAATTTATCTTGGACTGAACTTGAAGCAAACCAAAAGCCCTGCACAGCCCTTGTGGATTCACATACGAGTCTAAAATAAAAATAGATGAAAATTTCAGAGGGGCTAACCGTGTGTGTTGAATTAAAAGCCTAACCTTGTCTTCTAGGTTGTGGCTGTTTATGGAACATTGTCCGATTTGCTTTCTGTCGCAAGTAATAAGCTTGGCATAAAAGCAACCAGTGTTTACAATGGAAGAGGTGGACTCATTGATGACATTGCCTTAATCAGGTAAGATTAGCCTGCTTTGGAAATTTGTTAACTCGAGCCCTTTTGAATAAACCAAATATGCGTGAGAACCGCTTGGAAAATGGACTAAGAGCTGATTAAGCAAGACCAAATTTGTTGTATTGGACCATAGTACAACGTGTTGATGTTGGAATGGCCATGCATGCTTTCCTGGAAAGCCATCAACAGGGATTAGTTTGTAGAGAATACACTGTAGCTCCATCTTCTTCGGTACTCTAATTCCCTCCGCCATTGACAATAAATTTCTCATAGGTTTGGTTACCTCCCTGTGCACAGCCACTGTTTCAGTTAGGGGGAGGCAATCTGCAGCCCCCCAGCCTTAGTTCCCTTTTTGCACTTGGAGCATTCTCTGGCCATGATTGCTACTGAGAACTGATAGGACAGTTTCCTGTCATTTTGAGATAGGGAACAGATGAACCAGTTTACATGAGAAGCCCTAAAGTAGGCAGATCACTATCTTAAAAAAAAAGGTATTCCGAATTCCTCCATTCCCACTCTTCCCTCTATCCCCTCTTGCTCGTGTATGATATTACCATGGCCACCCGTGGTTTAAATAGCAGTTTGTTGAGCAAGTCATAGTGGGCCACACAATGTTGAGCAATAAACTGTGGTTGTCAAACTGTTCTGGTTTGATTTAACACCATGTCCAAAGCCAACCCTAAACCATCTACAATTGTGGCTAAGTGCAAAGCATGGATCCACTCTGACGTCTGAAAAGCCCACTGTGTAAACCAAAATCCAAACACCATTCAAACCATGATTTGATTCTGATTTGGAAATGACCCAAGATTAGCTAAGAAGTCGGTGAGGAACTCAGAACTATTGTGAACTTGGAGTAGGCAACCTGATGTCTTCCAGATGTCAGGGAATATAATTTTCATGCTGGTTGGACATAGTGAGAACTGTAGTCTAAAGCATCTGGAGGGCATCAAGCATTTATCCCTGTTGCACACTCTGATTACAGTAAATGAAAAAGCAGAGGAAGGAACACTCCTAGCGTCTGAGTCAAATCGCATGATTTATATAGCCTCTCAACTGGGACAAGATTCTATGTGGGTTTTATTGTGTAATGATAGCAAATATGTTTATATTCCATCCCACGTGGCCAGAGAATTGCTATCCCATCCTATAGTTTACCTTCTAACAAATAATTTCTACTAAAAGGATTTGGTTGTTTCATGGGTCCTATGCTTGTGAGAATTTGTTGGGAAGCATGCTGTAAACAAAGCCTCTTTACCAGAGGATCCTTGCATAAATATGAATCTGACTCTCCAGCTTTCCCAAACACAAATGTTATTGTATTTAAGGACTTTGAATCAAAACCATCTGCAAAAGCAATTGAATTTAGAGCATGGAGAATTTGTTAATTCATCAATACATATATGTGTGTGTGTGTGTGCGCGCGCGCGTGCGCATGTGTGTGTTTCCCTGACACTAAAAAGGTGGAGTGTAGGAAAAAATCAGAATCTGAAAGGAGACATTTTTAGTTTGTAGTGCTCATCTCTTTTGGAAGAGAAAAAAACATGTCTTGGTGATTTTGCATTTTTTAAAACTTTTCTTGAAAAAACATTGCATTTCAGAGCGAGTCTGATGTGTAGACTATCCACAAATGACTATCGCGTAGATGGACTTCCTCAAACTCCTTCCTATGAAGTCACATAACATAGCTGAATTGTCAACTAGATCATAGGCACTTAAACCATTATCCTAATGCAATAGTATTGATTTTAGAGTCTCTCAAACCTAGGAATCTGGAATTAACAACTACTGTTTTCCAACATAGATACAGGGCTTGTTCTGAAACTGGTTTTCTTTCTCATTTCCTTCAATCTATAGAGATGACGATGTTCTTTTTGTATGTGAAGGTGAACCATTTATTGGTAAGTATACAGAGTTGTTTTTCTCCTGAAGAACAGGAAGTGTAAAGTTGGCACTGTGTGTTAATATACTTTCCATCTTCACAGATCCCCAGAATGACCTCAACCCTCTAGAAACCTTAACGGGATCTCATTCGGATTGGATCACACTCAATGTAGGAGGACGGTACTTCACAACTACCCGGTAAGAGTTTCTCTTCTTATTCTGAAGCTCATCATTGGAAAGATAACATTGCTAAGTGTTAAGTGCATTGATAACTGATAAAGTCCTTAACTTTTGGACACAGTGGCTTGGTTCAGGGTTCACGCTAAACTGTAGGGTGGTTTGCATAGCATGATCTGTGAAGACAGTCATTGGTTATTGTTATGTACAAATCAAACCAAATGTTTTTTCAACCATCCATGATTTTAAAATCCTGGTTTAATATTATATTATTCTGGCTTAGTGTGGAAACAGAAAGTTCTTTTTTCCAGAAAATTAAGCAATTCCATAAATCAAAGTTTCAACTAACTTTTCTCACTCTGGTTCTATCTGGTGTTGGACCACAATTCCCATCACTTAAGCCAGTGTTGTCCAAACTTGGCCACTTTAAGATGAGTGGACTTCAACTCCAAGAAGCCCCCAGCCAGCATGGGGACTT